TGCAGTGAAGGTTGGCTGTGATATTTCCTTCTGAGTTCCGGAAGAGGTCAGATGCATATTCATTCATGTACTCAAATACCATAATAATTGATTAATTGTGTTGGCTTTACATTAATCTTCCTTTCTCCCATCTTCACCATTACTTTCATCTTTTGATCTTGGGTTCTCGTTGATCTCTGATTGTTCCAACGGGGTTTTGTTTTATCGTATAATCTGGAACGGGTGTCGTTCTGAAATGGCCTCTTTGCCTTTTATAGGCAGGGTTAATGTTTGTTACAGCCTACGCCTACAACATTGACGCTACCGTCCATATTTAAAATTTAAACACAACATGCCATTCTTTGGTCTTTCTCCCATTGTATGACATTTTGGGCCCTAAAAGCTTTCAAAACTCCATTCTTTTTTAATAAGGGGTGTCTTTGACTTTTGACTAAGGGGTTGTTTGACAACTTTTGAATAGGTAAGTGCTGAACCAGTAAGAGGTCTGAACCATTAAGTGCTGAACCAGTAAGAGGTCTGAACCATTAAGTGCTGAACCAGTAAGAGGTCTGAATCATTAAGAGCTAGTATATTGCTAAACTATTCAGAGGCAAATGTCTAATCAATTCAGATAAGAGGTCTTAACCATTCAGACTTTGTATAATACTTAACCATTCAGAGACAAATCTTTTAACCATTCAGACATCTGAACCATTAAGAGGCTGAAACAAATAGTCTGAACCATTAAGTGCTGAACCATTCAGACATCTGAACTATTATGAGGCTGAAACAAACAGCCCTAAGGCAAACGAGCCATCTTTGGGTTGCCATTTCATCTTTTAGTTGATTGGGTAAAATTTGTGTGTTGGTTCACTTGGTTGTCGATAAGAGTTTTTAAAAAATATTTGATAAATTGAGTTGTTATAGGAACCTTGGGACTGAAGTTTTTTTGTTTGTAATTCAACTTTTTGCAACTCAATGATGCCCCGCTTTGGCAATTAAGGATATGTTTAATGGACAGAAGAAATATGAATCCAAATATCTCTAGGCAGCAGAATCTTTTTTGTTGTTTGATGAAATTAAAAGATATCGAATTTGATATCTTCAGATACAATAAAATCTTTAAATTGAAAATTTTGATCTCTCAAGTTTTGGAGATATTAATATGAAGATTTGATATCTCTTTAAATTGTTGATCATTTCCGGCATTGGTCACCGCTCTTACCGCCAATCACCCATGTTGCTGGCTACTTCCGCTTATCACTAATTAAATTATGATTTTAAATCTTTCTAAAAAAATTCATTTTAGATTTCAAAACTCTTATAATTTCGCATAGATTTTAAAATCATATCATATCATATCTCCAAAACTCATCAAGCGAGTCCCTAAATGAGGTGAGTGAGGTGTAATAACTCAAGTGAGGGTAATTGTGATATTTTAAATGTAAAAATTGTAATAAGAAGATTTTTCCCAAACAAACAAAAAAGACATTTAAAAATATATATGACGGACGGTGAGAATATATTATAATGAGTACATTTTGTTAAAGAAATAAATTTATAAAATGTTTATTGTGCTTTTTAAAAAGAAATATTTGCACTAAATAGTACTAAAACTTAAGTCATTTTCCTAAATAGCACTTAAATTGTTTTATTTTCTAAATAACACTTAATAATGTCCAGTGACGGCAAACATTTACTTGAATAATGACTAATGGATAATGACTAAAAGTGCTATATTGAGAAAACAGATGTAATGCTATTTAGGGAAAATCACTATGTTTTAGTGTTATTTACGCAAATTCCCCAAAAGAAATATTTGCAAATAAAAACATGCAAATCTCGGATGCACATCCTTGAATAAACATGATGAGCATTATAGAATTAACAAATGGGGATACATGTATGTTTTAATGTGCATGCATATTTTGATTAAAATGCTAAAAATAAATTATGAAATAAGCGTTATATGTTATGAAATGTACTTACTACATAGTACATATTAGTATTTCTTTTTAAGAATTTGCATGTTTTCAGCAAGTACTAAGAGTATATAGTTGAAAAGAGCTTCATATTATTCCTAAACTCCGTATATGTCAAATCTATGACAAACACTGTATGCCAAAATGTACACAGTTTTGAAAATCGAGCTGGACTGATCGGTTTGAACGAGGAATCGGCAAACCAAGGGTCAACCCGTTCTAGTTGATGCGAGAAGTTTTTCGATACGTCATTTGATATTGAAACCCTCGATCAAAAAGATGATATGAATGAAATGGGATGATAAATGTGGAAAAAGAAATGGGTGAGTAAAGTGGTGGAAGTAAGGGTTGTCGTGTCCACGGAGATATCGTGATTGGTTAGGAATTGAGTGCAAAGTGTAATTAAACACCAATATCGAATCATATAATGTGAATCGTGTCCACGGGGATATCGTAATTGGTTAGGAATTGGTTAAGCCTCAAATTGTATTAAAATCCAATTAAATAAGTCTATCAAAAGATAATCAAATATGCACAAATAATAGACTTATCAACTCCCCCACACTTAAATCATTGTTTGTCCTCAAGCAATCAAGAACTAAAGTCAAAAGATTGAAACAAATATGCACTCATGTCAATCTATGCCAAATGGAAGAAACAAGTATATGGAATGAATATGAATCAAGACAATCAAGAGAGCTTCAAAGATGGTTCTTCATGAAACAAAAGCTCAAGAGAATCACACAAGCTCACAAGATTACTCTCATTCACTCGTATTTTCCCTCAAGGTTTATTACTCACAACCTAACTTCTAAGCACAATCAAAAGGTCTTTTATTAGATGGAGGAGAAGGATAAGAGATAGAAGGTGAAGGGATAAGAAAGAGGTGAAGGGATAAGGACAAGGGTAAGAGATGAGTGAAGACATGAAGTGAGTTGGCACAGGTTTTTGTCGGTGTGGAAAAGAAATCCAAAGTGTTAACCCGCAATCAAGAGAAGTCAAAGTTAATGAAAAGATGTGGCACGAGTTTCAAGGAATCCACCTTAGGAGACAATCATCCATGGCTCATGCGTTTTGGGCGAAGCAAGGTACATTCCGGAGCTCGATCCTCCATTGAGGTATACTTCAAGAATGCAAGCAAACACATGTATGTCTCATTACTCAATTGTGCACTTATTCAATTTATTTATTTTATTTATTTAATATCCCAAAAGGGTAAAATGTGCATTGCAATACAAGAGTAGATGCTACCAAAGCATACCCACATGAGATTGCATATCCATCGGTGTGTGTTTGTTATGAGATTTAGTTCAACAACTATGGCGTGCGAAGAACTAAAACGAAAATAAGAATAGTATTGATAGAATATGCAGAACTCTTGTAAGTTTGTATTAACTCAATTCATCTTGAGTTACAATCAAGGGTTACCCTCCATTTATAATCTAATTCTAGCGTATACAAAGCATGCAATTTCGTGCGCTATACTAGGCTTGATTCATGTTGGGCCTTGGAATTGTATTTGAGCTACCCAAGACCTATTCAGCGGTCCAGTTATCCATCAATATGCAAAACGGTGACATTATTTCAAGCGGAGTATTTATTATTATTTTCATCGTATTCTATTATTATTATAATAAATTACTATGTATTACTTTTATTTATTATTACTATTATTATTATTAAAATTAGTTATTATAAAAATAGCATTGATTTTTATTTAGGAAAATAGCACTTATTATAAAAAACACTTATTATTAATACTATTATTTATTAAAAGCAAATAATTAGTATTACTTTACTCTATTATTTACTACTTTACTCTTTTATAAAAATAACAATACTTATTAGTATTACTTTGTATTAATTATTATATATTTCTTTTTTTATTATTTTTCTTCTATTTTTTTAATTTATTATTATTAAAAGTTAATTAGTAATTTTGTTACACTATTTTTTAAGTAAAATAAAACTAATCATTATTTAAATGAAAACTTATTACTATTATAAATTAAAAACAATTACTAGTACTTTTACTACTATAATTTTTTGTCATTCCATGTTATCTTTCGCATTAGTCACGTAGTGGTCAACAGCAGCCGCCACTCATAGTGGGTAATCTAGAAAATGAGAAGACTTGGGGTAAGAATAAAACGGGTAAATTCATCTGAAATTTTTTTTATAGATAATGTAAAATGATAAAAATGATGTTAAATTTCATATTATTATAATGAATTAAGACGTATAATATATAACCAAGGGAATACATATTGTTTTTAGAAACTATACATAAATATATTACAAAAAGTAATTTTTAATTAAAACTTTAAAATATGTTAACCTTTTTTATACAAGTGAAAAAAGTTAGAGTAGTAACAATAATAATTTAGTAAAATGATAAAAATAAATAATCATAATTATTAGAAAATAATACAATAACTAATAAAATAATAATAATAATAACCTTTTTTAATAACTAATAGTAATAACACTAATAATAATAATAATAACAACAACAACAACAACAGTAATAAAAGAAGAAGAAGAAGAAAAGAAAAAATAGAGGAAGAAAAAAAGGTGGGGGGGAGAGAGATTTGGGTGGGGGGCGGGTGGTCTCTAATGGGAATTGGGAAGAGAAAAAAAGAAAGAAAGCAAGCAAGAAAAAAAGAAATAAGAAAGAAGAAGAAAAAGATAACGGACATTGAAAGTAACGGAGGCATGGACGAATTGTCACCCCTTAGTAATTTTTCGGATAATTAAGGTACCCAAGAGTATATTTAGAAAAATAATGAGACATGACAGTTCTTATCAAAAAATCAAGGGTACCCGGCAGCAATTTTTTCTTATAAATCACTATCTTGACCGGTTCCGTCACTCCTTTGGTTCTAAAACTATAGATGCACAATAACAAACACATATTCATATGAGAGCAACCCAAACAAAAGGGCCTTGCTTTCAAAAAAAAAAGAAAAGAAAAGGGGCCTATAACATCAAAATTAGCCTTTTTTTTACAATATAAATTAAATCCTCAGTCTTTTTTCTACGTGAGTGCTCTAGGGCTTCTTCCTCGCTGGGACTACTCTGTGTTTTATCACTTTGCCGAACTGTAACTTCCTCCAATAAGCGAAGCTCGAAACCCTTCAGTTAAACCCCTAAAACCCAGCAGCAGCTTAAGCGCACAAAATTCATCAATTTGGACTTCAACCATGAACAGAAAGAGCAAAATTATGAACAAGAGGAAGAAAGTTCCACCTTCTTCCCAAAAGAACAATAGATTTTCTGATCCGTTCTTCGAGCCGGCAGGTGGCGAAAGCAAGCGCCGCCGCCGCCGCAATTTCGAGGATGAAGACATAGAGAGCAGCGACGACGAAGGAGAACACTTGTTGGGAGGGGAAGAAGAAAAGGAGGATGCTGAAGAGGAGAATGAAGTCGAGGAATCTGCGGCCGAGAAGAAGAAGCGGATGGCTTATGCTTATTTAGAAAAGGTTAGGTCTATAGCCAAGAAGGATGAGGAGGATGCACCAAGCGGCGATGAGAAAGATAGGGAGGATATCGAGGGAATGAGGGACTCTATGGTTGCTAAACTTTTGCAGCAGGAGCAGCTGGAAGAGAGTGGTCGAGTCCGAAGATCCATTGCTTCAAGGTATGTTGTGTTTTGTTAGAATAAAAATCGATTCTTTCAGACTAAAAAAGAAGAATGAAAATCAACTTGGATAGTATGTTTGCTTCTCTGGTGTGAGATGATTCATGTAGTGCTACCTTTTAAAACTGTCCAATTTTCATGATTTAGAGCTTGGCTTTTCATATGTTCATTTTTAAATCTTTTCAGCAAGTTATCTCATAGTAGCTCTTCTGTTCCTTCCCCAAGTTCAATAGGAGGAACTAGGGACTGAATGTTGTTGCTTTAAACTTTGATCTTCTCTCAAGAGAGAATTCTATGCAGTGACTACAATTGACTGACTGATATTATAGTATGAAGCCTCAGTGACAATCCTACTTTGCGTTAGTGGCATAAGTGACATCATCATCATCTTCATCATTATTAGCACAAATTCCCAACTGGTTGGGGTCGTGACATTAAATTTATAGACTATAGTGCCAATTATCTGCATATACTTAATTGGTACTATATACTCATGCAAAAGCATAGTGGCAGTGTTTGAGGCTGGATCCTCTTCCTATCGCAACCTTCATAAGGAATAATGAGATGAAAGTTCTATAACCATCATAAGCATAGGTTCTTTCCACAAGCTTGGTAAATATCATAAAATGGTGATGAGTTGAAATATTTGAAATTGTCATGTCCATTACATAATTGATATTGCAAAACCAATATGTAAATCATCAAGAACAACCCATCAGAGAGACACCATAATCTATCCATGCAGTTTCTCATTAGAAGTTTAGAACTTTTGAGTTTGTTGCATAGTATATACATTCTGTCATGTTGATTTGAACAACACATATCTCTCTTGACATATTTCAATCCCCAATTTGGGCTTTGGAGGTTAGGGGTATTATCACTGCCTCTTTACTCTTTAGACCAAGCTAATATTGTTTCTGTCATCATTCTTTATTGAGATGGACTGGCGAGCTCTCTTTGAGAATCACTGTTAGTCTTAGTTTAAAAAGGCAAGGCTAGGCGCGAGACACGGGGATGTCACAAAGGATGGACACAGGCATTGGCCCACTTCCGTTCTTGTAATGGGGTGTGTCTAGAATACTCTTTTTTAAATATTTTAAGCTAATTAGACCTATACTTCCATCCAAGACTTAGAACGGGGTTTTGGAAGCCCAACAAAGTCAAAGAAATCTTCCTATCCTATCTTGAATTTTATTTAAAGCTAATTAGATTAAAAATTCCCACCAAGAGTCAGAACGATGTTTTGGCAGCCCAACACAGTCAAAGAAGTTCTCCTTTTCTACATTGAATCAGGAAAACAACAAACTCTGGTCTCCCTCATCTTCGCAGTGTGTAAGTTCTTCTTTTCCTGTTTCTCGTTGTCCTTCGTGTGCGTCCTATTCTTCTTTAAGTTTCCCATGGTTCTCCCCTCTGTGCTAGAGCTGCTGAGCACAAAAGTGATGACAACAATGATATTGAGACTAATTCTTTCATTGTTTTGTTTGCTTTTTTTATGTTATGCGCCTTGAAGATTGAACCTGTTGATGTTGTGTGACTATATGGCTGTTTTGTGTTGAGATTTTGGCATTTAATTTTTCTATTTACGTTATCATCTTGTTTGATTACTAGATAGCATGTACAACTACTAGAAGTGCATTTTTGCAAGGCAGTGTGCTAATGAAGATAAAAAAGTCATTATTGATAAAAGCAATAGACTCAATCAAAATTTCACATTAAACTTCCTTTTGCTTCCTACTTTTTTATGAAAATTTGGGAAGTAAATGAGGCAATACATCAGCGGTTTAACAGAAACAAACTCTCTGTGTATCACAGGGGTTAATTTGTGTTTGTTGTTGTTGGCATGCCTTAGTTTCATGAGGCACTCTTTTTAAAAGTAAGCTGTTAATGAGTAATGACAATGAATTTAGAATCTTATGAAATTTATGATCATGTAGAATTCAGAAACCAGAAGCTAGAGACGGATTTCAACTTTTACTAAAACATCATCAATCAGTTACTGCTGTGGCTCTCTCCGAAGATGACTTGAAGGGGTTTTCAGCATCAAAAGATGGCACTATAGTTAGTTGGGATGTACATAATGGGAAGAAAGAAAAGTACTCTTGGCCTAGTGATGAAGTTCTTAAGTCTCATGGACTGAGGGAGCCACAAGGCTGGGCTTCGAAGCATAGTAAACATGTTCTAGCATTGGCTGTCAGCATTGATGGCAGGTATATGGCAAGTGGAGGCATGGATCGTCATGTTCATTTATGGGATATTCGAACACGAGAACATATTTGGGTATATACTTGACATTGAAGACTATTGATTTTAAATATATTTTGTGTTTATGACTTCTATTTTAACTCTGGAGAGACATGGTGGCAGGCTTTTCCTGGTCATAAAGGACCTGTATCGTGCTTAACATTCAGGCAAGGAACTTCAGAATTGTTTTCAGGGTCATTTGATAGATCTGTGAAGATATGGAATGTTGAGGATAGAGCTTATATAAACACATTGTTTGGCCACCAAGGAGATGTTTTAACAATTGATTCATTGAGAAAAGAACGAGTTTTGACCGTTGGGCGGGACCGGACCATGCACTTGTTTAAGGTTATTTTTACAATCTTCCTGCTCTTATTAAAAGGGGTGTATTGTTTCTAATTTGTTAAACTTCATTTACTAGTTTTATATATATTCTACTTCATTGAATTTGTAAAATTTATTGCAGATTTTATTAATTGATTAAATGAGATTGAAAAATCTGACATTAGTCCTTTTTTACCTGCTACTTATCATTCATAATTTTCCTTTCCTGAGGTGAACCGCAAGAGTATTATGGTTTTCACAAAGTTTCTTTGGGCAGCATTGTTTGTTCCAATTTACTTTATCACTGACACCATGCCTCGTATCATATGAACAGGTTCCTGAGGAATCACAATTTGTATTTCGTGCTTCTACTTCTCTAGAATCCTGCTGTTTCATTAATAATGATGAATTTTTAACGGGTTCCAGTGATGGAAGTATTGAACACTGGACCATAAAGAAGAAGAAACCCATTCACACTGTCAAAAATGCACATGCTTCTCGTATTGAACAAACAAGTACAGAAATACTATCAAATGGTGGCATGGGTAAGTTATGCAACTCCTTTTTTTCAATAAGAATTCACATCAGTCCATGTCAATTGGTGTTCTTTAGAAACATCAAAACTTGCAGGAAATGATGCCTCAATTCCTGAAGGCGATACTTCATCTGCACTCTCCTGGGTTGGTGCTGTGGCAGTCTGTAGAAGCAGTGATCTTGCTGCTTCGGGTGCAGGCAATGGTCTAATTCGTCTTTGGAAACTTGAGAACGATTCCAGATGCATCTCTCCTTTGTTTGAGATTCCAATGGTAAGTCTATGCCTGCATTGTGGTTGCATCACATGCATGTTAGTGACTATTGTTGCGAGTCCTCTGGAACTTTACCATTCATGTTCCGAACCATCTGTAGTCTGTAAATGTGCAATTGAGCTTAACTCTGTTTTGTCAGGGTGGACATTGATTATGCAGATTAAATGGTTGGTAATGGTAAATTGGTAACTCTAGTAGTGCCTTCTTATTATCACCACATTTTAGCATGTGCTGTCATTGACACCATAATCTGCAACTTTTCTAGATTAATTATATTGTGTTCCTAAACACTTCTGTGTAGTGTTTGGTAATGAAATACACACTTTTTGGAGCCACCCGAACCCCAAAACTCCCTAAGTCAAAAGCTAGTAACTATCTGTTTAAAATTTTGTTTATTGTTTAGTTTAAGCTGTTTTACAACATTGTCATCACTGACATTTTAGGCACCTAATTGTCCAAGGCTAATTACTCGTAAGTTAAGCATTTAAGCTTGTATTGTTTGCAAATGCTCAAACATGGTAATGCAAAAAATTATAGTTAAATCTGCAAACAATACCCATTCTTCTAAAATAAATAAATATTTATCCCACCAAAGCAAAAGTGAAAACTTAGTTTCTTGCACATTTTAGTTAAGCCAATTTTCCAATGTAAACACTATATTCTAGATTAGATAACACACAATTGATATGATTACATGTTCATGGTACTCGTTCTTTCTCATCTTTAATCTTTTGATATAATTGAGGTTGCTCATGCAATGGTTCCACAATGCAGGCTGGATTTGTAAACTCCATAGCTTTTGCAAAATCTGGACGTTTCCTTGTTGCGGGAGTCGGAAAGGTTAAATGCCATCACTTTTCACATTAATTGTTTTTGTCTATGTAGATTTCAAATTATTAAGCTTGAAGAGGGACCTCCCCCTCCCACCCCCACTTGGGAAAAGTTAAATTCCATCCTGGGGTTTGCCCCTACAGAGTAATGCTTTTACTGCTAGAGTATAAAAACACTCTTAGGCCTTCAACTACAAACTTGAAGTTTGTTGTTGACTTGGTTCCTTAACATGATATCAATGCCCTATTGATCTAGAGGTCATGGGTTTGAATCTCACTACTTGTCACTTTAAAACGAATTTTACACGTGCAATGTTCAAGCAAATACACTTCAACACGTGAATGGGCATGTTTGATTATAAAACATTTCTGGGCTTTCAACCAGAAACTTGAGCTTGTGATTGACTTTGTTCCTTAACAATATACACCTGTCCTCAACTATAATTTTGCTTCGATTTTTTTTACAGGAACCTCGCCTTGGAAGCTGGGGCCGGATTACTGGTTTTCAAAATGGGGTAGCCATGCATTCTTTTGAGCTCAAGTGAAGCCGGTCGAAGGTTTGGTTACTGCAAGTTTTGTTCAAAATATAGGGAAGCTTTAATTCTGCGTAAACGTGTTTTTTCTAGAAGATTTCAATACCTTTTGGATGCCGAGGCTTTTCATTCTTTAAATAGATCTTTTCAGAGTCGCATCACTCATATGAAACCATCTTTTTTGAACTCTTCACTGTTGCATTATTCAATGTATTGCCTGATTTGCTTTCATTTTTCCTCCTTAAGTCCCCTTTACTTGAGGGTTTTTGGCTAACATTTGTGTGGAAAATTGGAATCGTCTGGTAAAATCATTTCAATCAAAAGTTTTTAAAAAAGCTACATATTCTTAGTATTGTGGCAATAGTGCTGTGAATGGTGTGAAATAGTTCATTTATGTCACAAATCTGGGTTTCACTGTGCTTATCCTTCATTTCATAAAGGGTATTGCAGTTTTATGGAGTACTTGTTTTTTATCAGGCACGGAGATTGAAAAAGTAAACTTTGTGTGGACTTTTCCAAAACACCCTTCTCTATCTTGGGCAATGTTCTCACCAATTTTTTTTACTTATTACGGAGTACTTATTTTTATTGGAATCAGAGTAGATTAGATTTAGATTAGATCAGATTAGCTTTAAATATAATTACATTTTAGATTAGATTGGATCAGATCAGATCAAAATTTATTTCAGTTAAGTCAAAATCAATCAGATTAGGTGAATAGAATATAGCTTTAGTCCCCTTTTTTGGCATTTTTGTCTTTCTTTCGAGAAGCGTAAAGATTGACATCAAATCTACGATCTTATATACTCTTGCATCTCATTAACACAAATCGTTAGTAATTGTTGTAATAATTCTGAGACTCAAAATCTACATTTAAAAATTCAAAAGTATTGTTTGTAAGAGCATGGAGATCCTTAAAAATATAAAATTAGTATAGAAAATGATTTCTATACACTTGCATCTAATTAACACAAATCGTTAATAATTATTGTAATAATTCTCAGACTCAAAATGTACATTTAAAAATTCAAACGTGTTGGTTGTAAGAGCATGAAGGTCCTTAAAAATATAAAATTAGTATAGAAAAAGCTGGACAAAGTGGGATGAAAAAAAACTAGATTGTACACCACTTGGGATAGACCTAGTAGGCCTTGGGTGGAAAATATAATGTGTAATGTGTGTATGCCTTCGTCTAGACTTTAGAGTCATTTTGATGAAAAAATTCCGTAGTTTTTTTTTTTTGGGTTGAAAATACTTTATGTTTTTTGTACTTGATATATAAAATTCATTTTGTCTAAAAACATATGTATAAAGTTTTTGTACTCTATACATAAAAGTTATTTTTTTATAAGGTCAAACTCTTTCCTTACCTATTTTGATAAAATAAAATTGTCATTTTGGATATAGTTAGTTACTAATATTTTCATATTCAATATAATGGTTTGTAGAATTGTAGTCCGTAATATTTTCATTTTAATAGAAAGGGTTTCTACAATAACAATTTGAATATAATGGCTGCTAAGTATCCCATTTACGGAGTAATATTTTCATTTTGAATATAATTGGTGATGGATTGGGTATCCTAATTCAAGACAAAGCCAGATATGTATGGACAGAAGAATATATTTGAAGTGATATAAAGATATTTAGCGGGACCCGTGGAACATTATCACATGGAGTATGTCCTCTTTTGTCTCCATCAATCACTCTCTTCCCCCCTTTAAAATGTAAAGCTACGGAGAGGAGAAAGGAGGCCAAAATTCATACAAGCTCCTACTACTATTCTTCTTGTACTTTAAGCTTGAAGCTCCATTAATGGCTTCAAGCTCCTACGATGATGTATATGTAAATTCCACCGAGATTAATAATAATTCCTCTTCTTTGGCATGACACCGCCTAAAAAGGCTCATGGTTTTCTCTCGATTTGGATTTCCACGTATAAATACTTTCTCTCCGCTTTATTTATTTATTTATTTTCCAGATTTCGCTATTCGGTGCGGTGCCGACCCGATACCGAGTTCGTTGGGTTGACGTCCCGAAAAAACAGTTTTCATCAATTGGTTACTACTGTCTACTGTAATATTTTATTTTGCTAGTACAAGTTCCATCATTGAATAATTTTAGAGCATTAAAAAATGTTTTTAGCTCATGCACTGTATACTTTTGTTGAATTTAACCTACTGAAAAATACTAAAAATACATTTTGTCCGTACATGTTTTAAAACTGTTTGGTTTTCCAAAGGGCTGGCAAAACATAGTTTTATGTATCTTTTTTTTTTGCCCAAAACGGTAAAAACCAAACAAAGCCAACATGGAGTATGCTCTTTTCCCATATAAGAACTGTTATTTCAAAGGAATACCACCTTGGAGGGATGATGAAATTATACAACCCACAAAATTTTCCCCAAACATTTATTTTCAACCCATGTTATTAAAGCTTGAAAACCGGCACGCCCACCGGTTCTTGGTTTGACCGGTTCGGACCGGTTTTAGTAACACTGGTATCAACATCTTCTAAAGTGGTATATATAAAAAAAGCTTTCTACGTATCGATAAAAGGCAAAATAATTTGTGTGGTATGAAAATTAGAGGTAAGAATTAATAAACAATGTATGGCAGTGGGCTCCTCCTACATTGCAGCATGATCCCAGTCAATTGATTTCCCTTCGAACTCGAATTCGCCATGTTGAAGCCTGTTTGGAGCCAGCCTACTCATTGTTGCAAGACCTGAGAGACAATGCATAAAACACATTTCAACATTTTTTTCGGTTCACAGCTCGGAGGGAGGTTTTCTTTTCTTAGATGCAAAACCTTTTATGACCCGTAAAATCAGGATTTGCAGAGGAACCGGCTCAGCCAAAAGCTCGCGTTTGTGGTTCTGGGCAAATGAAATGTTTTATACTATAACACGGCAGCTCGTGTGGTGGTGAGATTTGGTTTTTTTGTTAAACTGGGTGACTGTGAAGTTCAAACTCGTGGGCTTTGGGTTCGCAACACTCTAATACTATGTCAAAGAACACAGACAACCACAAGCTCAAGCTGGTGGTTGTAGTCTCATGAAATGTTTTATACTCTAGCAAGAATGAAAAAAACAATGAGACTAAAAGAGGGGCCCGGTGCACAAAGCGTCCCTGCTTAGCGAGCATCCAAAGGGCCCCGCCACAAGGCGTCCCTGATCGCCTTGCATTTTTGGCAAGTGACTGCTTCCCAAATATGAATCTTTGACCTAAAGAGTATCACACAACACCTCAACTAGTGCACCAAGGCACCCCCTTCTAAAGTACTCCATATTGACTAAAATTGCTCATATAAAAAGACATGAATGCATCTACTAGTGCTTTTTAATACCTTCAACCACTCTGTATAAGGCAAACCACCATCTATCTTTGGAGACCTGGTAGCGATCCAGCGTCTCTTCAATTTCATTGTTGTGCTTCCCTTCCAAAACACCTTGCAAAGTTACCACGGCGTCCTTCGTTTTGTTGAGGATATGAACGTCATCTTCAATTTCCAGCTGGATAAGGTCATTCTGTGATGAACTGAGACTAATACCCAGTGCATATTGTGCCGCAGCAGCCCAACGAGAAGAGGCGAGCCCTCTCCTTACCCCATCTAGCTGTTTATCAACTTCCGGTTTGATCTCTCCTACCCCAAGTACTAAGCTTTGCAAATACTCTGCATTAGCTGCGCCTGTACTCTGAACCATCCGGTGAAATGCACTTCCTTCATTCAGTAGCAGTGCCTCTGGTGCATCATATTCTAGGACCTGAAGCAAGGGCGCACAACATCAAAATTTAGTAAGTACTCCCTCCGTCCCTTATTAAACAAGAACTTATGGATCATTAAACTATTTAAGGTCAAGACAGATTACAGAAATACTAATTTCTTTGATACCTTGCCAGAATCGAGCAGAATAATTCGGTCACAATCAATGATTGTGTTCAAACGATGAGCGATAATAAGCATGGTGCATGATTTGAATTCTTCTCTTATGGTTTTTGAATAAGGGCATCAGTTCTGACATCAACAGCAGCAGTGGCTTCATCCAAAACAAGAATCTTTGATCGGCGAAGCAATGCTCGAGCAAGACTTAATAGTTGCCTCTGTCCTACACTAAAATTTTCCCCAGCCTCTGATACCTTTATTCATAATTATAGGTCAATACATTATTAGTAAAATGACTGAAAACTGAAAATTCATTGAACATCCATCCAGATGACCAAAACAAATCTGGAGTACTAAGAAATAGAGAGCACACTATATATCAGCCTGCAAATTTTATGGTCATTGTATAACAACAATGACAGCAAACCCAGTATAATCCCAACTCCATTGGAGTCTGGGGTGACCGGGTCAGGATGTACACAACCTTACCCTTATAAAAACAAAGAGGCAAACTGCTAATGTTGGTTTAATTTATCATCGTATGAACAAAAGGAATTTAGGGTTTTTTCATGATGTGAGAAATACAATGGCGTAAGAGGTTGCTGCAATGAAAAATTCGTGCAACTTCACAAGATTATGTGATATATATATATAATTATATACACACACACACACACACACACTCTCTCTCTCTCTCACACACACACATATATACCTCAGTGTCTAGACCTAAAGAACTCCTTCTGATGACTTCTTTAAGATGTGCCCTTTCTAAAGCTTCCCATAGATCAGCATCATTGTGTTCATTGAATGGATCAAGATTGAATCTCACAGTTCCTGAAAAAATAATAATAAGCCAAAGAACTACATATATTAGCAGTCCTCTAAATGAACTTCGCTAAATGCACATTCAAATCCATCAAAATTTTGGAAGATAATCAAGAATGCGTTCAAAAGATTGGACCTTTTGAAATATTGATAGATATGCAATCATCAGTGTTAAGAAAATGAATAATTTAGGCATTTTAGGCGGTGGAAAAGTGGTGTCTAGGTGTGAAGTCAGATGGGGATTTTAGAAGAGTGTGAAACAATCATTTAGCTCCATTAACTTCTTCCTCTTAAGATTTAGTCTGGATTTCACAAGATCATTGCAATGCAACTATCTGATTGTGTGTACCCGAGAAAAGAACAGGTGATTGAGGTATGATTCCGAGAACTTTCCGGAGGTCTGTTAATCCAAACTTTGAAACATCACAATCATCTATCATAATCTTTCCACTTTCCAGTTCCACGAGTCGGAATAAAGCATTAAACATGCTAGATTTTCCAGCTCCTGTTCTCCCAACCACTCCAACCTTGTCACTGGGACAGATTTTAAATGATATACCATGCAAAACAGGAGGTAGCTCTGCCCTGTAACGTAATACAACACTTTCGAAATTAACAGATCCTGCTGAAGGCCATGCAGGAGGAGGACGATTATTTTCAATAACGGTGGGGCCTTCTGAAGGCAAATCAATGTATGTCCCAACTCGCTCCACAGCATTCAAACTATTCTCGGCCAGACTTGCCAGTCTCAGTACAGCTGTTAATAAGGATGTGATATTTAAGGCATAACTTAGAAGTAAACCCATAGTAGAGGCAAAAGCCTCCTGGTTTTCTGCCCTTCCATTCTGCATCACAGCAAATGTTGCAGTGAGCCAAATCATAATGCCTCCTAGAGTTTCAAGACGGATAGCAAGCCAACGGTTTCCACCCATATTCACAAGAGTGTATCTAACGTTATTGTCCATAGCGTTCCCATTAATGGTGGCCATCCGGTCGTAAGCTTTATATGCACGAATAGTTGGGAGACCATTGAGAGCTTCACCAAATTGTGCATACACAGGAGATCTGGAGATTGAATCCAAACGCTTCACTTCACGCGCAGTGCTCTGTTATAAACAGGATAGTTTTCCATAACACCAATTAGTGATTTTCTCATTTCACTAGTCTAGAGCAGATGATGTCTAGCTTTCAAATATAAAATATGTGAATAGCAAAGTTAAAGAGTAGCGCACCTGATAATACAAGTAGGCGTCATAAAACATAATCAGAAGTGGCAGTATGACCCATAAAGACATTGTGCTAACCAACCCAATCAGCACAAATGTTGAAATGAGTTGAGAAATTTGGCCCATAAACATATTGGCAAATGGTGCAACATTGCGGTCTATGTCACCAAGGTCCTTAGCAAACCTATTGATAATCCTTCCAAGTGGGTTTGTATGAAAGAAGACCATTGGAGATCTCAAAATGGACTTCAACATAGCGTCATGTAACCTTTTGGCAGCAGAAAGGCTTGTTGTGATCAACCAAAAGGAATTGGTGAGCGTTGCCAAAACCTGAAATGAAATCATTTTAGTGAGACATTTCATTTCTTTTTACTCTTTAAAATTTGCAGTGTTTTTCCCCCTAAAATATATAAGCATAACAAACTTAGTATCTTAAAAAGATATAGGAAACCCTACAAGAACATGCTGGATTAAAATGTATTGATTATTTAAACTTCAACATAAAAAATCCAGATGACATACTTGAGCAAATGACAGAAGTGAATATATCAGGTTGTAGAATCCAGAACTGTATTTGGTTGAATTGCTTTCATCTGTCCAAAAACTTAACCACAAACTGCTTGCAATCCTAAAAACTTCTGTTAACACATAGCACACTAATAATAAAATTACTGCCCAGGCACCTCCCAAAGCATTCTTGTACCTGCACAAATGTATCAATAACTTTCAAGTTTTTAAATATTAAGCCTACACATGAAATAAAATGGAAGAATCATTTTATTTTTCCCTTGCAAGGCAAATCATGAGATTAGAAACCTAATAAGCCCAATAACAATGTCATAAAAAACCAAATTATCAAGCACAAAAAATAGGTCTACATGTATTATTATCTCACATATCCAAACACTTCTAAGCTTCTCTTGTCATGTGGAACTCATAGTAGAGAGGTTAAACTTTAACCTCAGAAGTCATCATGGTTATGCCATGGGCCCTAACCCAGAACCAGTCTGTAATAGGTTCATGAACTTATTTCACTTCAACATGCAGAAGAAAGGCTGGAAATACTTTAAGAGCACAAGGATATCATCTTTACCTTGTCAGAACATTCCAGCTCACGACACCCGTTTCACGCTCTTCCTGTTTAATAAGAACAGATTTCCCTTCCTTCTTTTTATCTGTTTCACCAGCATTTTCAGATGACCCAAATGTCTCACCATTGACAGCAGGCTTAGAGATTTTGTCATCAACCTTTTCAACATTTTCCTTTTCTTCTTCATATTCCTCCATTTTCCCCGCATTTTCCATCAGTTTCTGAAATATTTTTCCGTTGTTTGACAGATATTCAAAGGTACCTTGCTCTTCAACTGTACCATTGTGCACCACTAAAATGCTGTCTACTTGTGAAAGAAAGTGCAGCTGGTTTGTAACTAGAACTCTGGTCCTGCCTCTTAATTCTCCCCTGATGCATTTCTCAAAAACCTGGTGAAGAAAGTGCACTAACATCATTTATCTATTATGTACCATAACGCTTGTATTTAAGGTGACAGGTCTTTACCTTTCTGAAAAGAATAATCGTTGAGTAGTGTAGATAAGTATTAGTGATTCCTAGAAGTATGATATTATCCTTATGATTTCTCATTAGATTGATTCAAGAATAGTCTCGGTCATAAAAAAAACCTTGTATTCATTCTTAATCATCATCCTGAAAAAATAAATAGAAATAGCAAAAACTATACTCCCTTCACTACAGAATAGGTTTACAAACAACTTCATTGAGTTAAGAAAAGTGTTGAAAATTAAAAGGTGCAGAGTTGAAATTTGATTAGAAGAGAGAAATGTTGTGAGCCAACATATTCCTTTCCCTTAAAAAGAAAGTAAGGAAGTGTAGAGTTTCATTTGGAACATCCCAAAAAGGATCATGTGAACTTCATTTTGGAACACAGTATGTTCTTATTATTTAGTTATTAGTTTCTCTTACATTGGTTGTGCTAACCTGGTATCTAACAGCTGACAACTTAGCACTTACTAGCGGCACCGACTACCTTCCAAGCATCTTAATATTAAAAATGGTATCTGGTAGAATACAAAACCTTTGTGGAACCACTTACCATCATTTTAAACTTCTAGTTGAGTCAATTCCTTTACACGGTATCGAAGCCTACTAATTTTTTGTTTCCCGTATCTTGTCCAACCAGCCTTCTTCCATATGAGGAGAATGTTAACTGTTAATATAAGTATTGATGGGTTATGAAATCATAGTCTAGTTTACAAAGTCTGAAAAGCCTCCACCTCTTGAGGATCCTTTTGGGGTGGATCGAGACCTAATGATGCCAAACTGAAATGAATTCTAGGAAAAAGTAAGCTTTTCGAAGAATCAGGGAGTTTTCAGGGAAGATTTCCGAGAGAGAAATGAAGGTGAAGAAGAAGATTGATTATCATTCATGTCTTACAGGAATACAGCACACTTCTTTATATTGATACAAGGGAAAACACAATTAGTTAGGCAACCGTAATCTAACAACTACTCCCTCTGTCCCAATTTAAATCGCTTGTTTCGGTTTACGACGTTTGGCTGAAGTTATTTTCAATACAATTTATTTGAAAATTGGAGCGGAATTAAAAAAATAAAATTTATGTATATAAACTCACATCAAAAGCTCTACAAAATAAGAGGTGACATGACTATTTTATTTGATCAAATGAGTAATGAAAATAGGGAAAGAAAGTGAATGAAGTTTGACCCCATGAATAGTAAACATCATAGTTTGTAAGGCGTCGCCTAGGCGATAAGGCGCTGTCACTGGGACGCCTTGTCTGCTCGCCTCGCCTAGAAGACCTTAAGGCGACCAGGCGCTCGCCTAGGCGTCGCCTTAGTTCGCCTTACCTCGCCTTGATGCCTTGGGCCCCTTTAAAATTTTGAAAAAACCCATTTTTTAGTGCAGCCCTTTTTCTTTTAGTGTAGCCTAATAGACTTAAACTTATCTTCTCTCTCTCTCTCGGTTTTCTCTGTCAAGCTTCCTTAAAATGTATAAGACCTATATANGAAGTTTGTTGTTGACTTGGTTCCTTAACATGATATCAATGCCCTATTGATCTAGAGGTCATGAGTTTGAATCTCACTACTTGCCACTTTAAAACGAATTTTACACGTGCAATGTTCAAGCTAATAGACTTCAACACGTGAATGGGCATGTTAGATTATGAAACATTTATGGGCTTTCAACAAGAAGCTCGAGCTTGTGATTGACTTTGTCCCTTAAATATACACCTGTCATCAACTGTCATCAACTATAATTTGCTTCGATTTTTTTACAGGAACCTCGCCTTGGAAGCTGGGGCCGGATTACTGGTTTTCAAAATGGGGTAGCCATGCATTCTTTTGAGCTCAAGTGAAGCCGGTCGAAGGTTTGGTTACTGCAAGTTTTGTTCAAAATATAGGGAAGCTTTAATTCTGCGCAAACATGTTTTCATAGAAGATTTCGATACCTTTTGGATGCCGAGGCTTTTCATTCTTGAATTAGATCTTTTCAGAGTCGCATCACTCATATGAAACCATTTTTTGAACTCTTCACAGTTGCATTAGTCAATGTATTGCCTGATTTGCATTAGATCTTTGCTTAAGGGTTTTTGGCTAGCATTTGTGTGGAAAATTGGAATCGTCTGGTAAAATCATTTCAATCAAAAGTTAAAAAAAATGGTGTGAAATAGTTCATTAATGTCACAAATCTGGGTTTTAATGTTTTTATTTAGATTTTGAATAGGGAAAATTACATTTCGGTCCCTCAGTTACAGTGGAACAATTCAAGTGGTTTTGTTTTGTTTCACTGTTTTTATCCTTCATCTCATAAAGAGTATTGCACAATTATGGATTAGTTTTTTTATTAGGCACGGAGATTAAAAAGTAGAATGTGTGTTGATTTTTCCAAAATGTCCTTTTCTATCTTACGCCATGTTATCCCAACTTATTTTTTTATTTATTACTTATTCTTATTGGAATCAGATCAGATTAGATATAATTTTAAATATAATTACATTCAGATTAGATTAGAATTTATTCCAATCAAATAAAAATCAATCAAATCAGGTGAAAAGAACATAGCCTTAGCCTCTCCCTTTTTTGGCATTCCTGTCTTTCTTTCGAGGAGCGTAAAGATTGACATCAATTCTATGATCTTATATACTCTTGCATCTAATTGATACAAATTGGTAATAATTATTGTAATAATTCTGAGACTCAAAATGTACATTTAAAAATTCAAACGTATTGTTTGTAAGAGCATGGAGGTCCTTAAGAATATAAAATTAGTATAGAAAAACATTAAAACAAAGCGGAAGAGGTCCATTATTACTGCGGTTTTAGCTGCAAACTGGTACAACATTTGGAAGATGAGAAATGCAAAGATACATGGTAAAGAGTTCTCGGTCGAAGCTGCAATTAAAAACACTGTTTTTTGTTAACAGTTTTTCGTTATACAATCTAAAATAGCTTGATATCTAGATTGTAAGTGGTTACTATATTTGTTGAATAAAACATTGTACATTTTGTCCAAAAAAAAACTGGACATAATGGGATGGAAAACGCTAGATGGCCTTGGGAAGAAAATAGAGCAATGCTACGTTCACAAACAAAATGGTCACAAACTTCACAAATTTACCATTTATGGTTTAAATTTTCATTTTAAAATTACTCTAGACCATTTAAATTTTTTTATTGAAGTTCACAAATAGTAAATTTGTGAAGTTTGTGACTTTTTTGTTTGTGAATCTAGCATTTCTCAAGAAAATATGTGTGCGTATGCCTTCGTCTAGACTTTAGAGCCATTTTGATGATAAAATTCCATAGGTTTTTTTGTTGGGTTAAAAATACTTTATGCTTTTTGTACTTGATATATAAAATTTATTTTTTCTAAAAACATATGTATAAAACTTTTGTACTTTATACATAAAAGTTATTTTTTTATAATGTCAAACTCTTTCTTTACCTATTTTGATAAAATAAAATTGTCATTTTGAATATAATGGTTTGTAGTCCGTAATATTTTCATTTGAATATAAAGGGTTTCTACAATAACAATTTGAATATAATGGCTGCTAATTATCCCATTTACGGAGTAATATTTTTATTTTGAATATAATTGGTTTCTACTGTAATATTTCATTTTGCTAGTACAAGTTCCATCATTGAATAATTTGGAGTATTAAAAAATGTTCTTAGCTCATGCACTGTATACTTTTGTTGAATTTAACCTATTGAAAAATACTAAAAATACATTTTATCCGTACATGTTTTAAAACTGTTTGGTTTTCGAAAGGGCTGGCAAAACATAGTTTTATGTTATCAATTTTTTTTTGCCCAAAACGGTGAAAACCAAACAAAGCCAACATGAAGTATGCTTTTCCAATATAAGAACTGTTATTTTAAAGGAATACCATAATAAAAAGTCAACCTTGGAGGGATGATGAAATTATACAACCCACAAAATTTTCCCCAAACATTTATTATCAACCCATGTTATTAAAGCTTGAAAACCGGCACGCCCACCGATTCTTGGTTCGACCGGTTCGGACCGGTTTTAGTAACACTAGTATCAACATCTTCTGAAGTGGTATATAAAAAAAAAAGCTTTCTACGTATCGATGAAAGGCAAAATAACTTGCGTGGTATGAAAATTAGAGGTAAGAATTAATAAACAATGTATGGCACTGGGCTCCTCCTCCTACAATGCAGCATGATCCCAATCAATTGATTTCCCTTCGAACTCGAATTCGCAATGTTGAAGCCTGTTTGGAGCCAGCCTACTCATTGCTGCAAGACCTGAGAGACAATGCATAAAACACATTTCAACATTTTTTTCGGTTCACAGTTCGGAGGGAGGTTTTCATTTCTTAGATGCAAAACCTTTTATGACCCTTAAAATCAGAATTTGCCGAGGAACCGGCTCAGCCAAAAGCTCGCGTTTGTGGTTCTGGGCAAATGAAATGTTTTATACTATAACACGGCAGCTCGTGTGGTGGTGAGATTTGGTTTTTTTGTTAAACTGGGTGACTGTGAAGTTCAAACTCGTAGCCTCTGGGTTTGCGACACTCTAATACTATGTCAAAGAACACAGTCAACCACAAGCTCATGCTGGTGGTTGTAGTCTCATGAAATGTTTTATACTCTAGCAAGAATGAAAAAAACACCGAGACTAAAAGAGGGGCCCGGTGCACAGAGCGTCCCTGCTTAGCGAGGATCCAATGAAGGGCCCCACCACAAGGGTATGATATAAAAAGACTCGAATGCACCCACTTCTTAAGTACTATATGTATGGGCTAAAATTGCTCATATAAAAAGACTTGGAATGCATCTAGTAGTGTTTTTTTATACCTTCAACCACTCTGTATAAGGCAAACCACCATCTATCTTTGGAGACCTGGTAGCGATCCAGCGTCTCTTCAATTTCATTGTTGTGCTTCCCTTCCAAAACACCTTGCAAAGTTACCACGGCGTCCTTCGTTTTGTTGAGGATATGAACGTCATCTTCAATTTCCAGCTGGATAAGGTCATTCTGTGATGAACTGAGACTAACCCCAAGTGCATATTGTGCCGCAGCAGCCCAACGAGAAGAGGCGAGCCCCCTCCTTACCCCATCTAGCTGCTTATCAACTTCCGGCTTGATCTCTCCTACCCCAAGTACTAAGCTTCGCAAATACTCTGCATTAGCTGCGCCTGTACTCTGAACCATCCTGTGAAATGCGCTTTCTTCATTCAGTAGCAGTGCCTCTGGTGCATCATATTCTAGGACCTGAAGCAAGGGCGCACAACATCAAAATGTAGTAAGTACTCCCTCCGTCCCTTATTAAACAAGAACTTATGGATCATTAAACTATTTAAGGTCAAGACAGAAATACCAATTTCTTTGATACCTTGCCAGAATCGAGCAGAATAATTCGGTCACAATCAATGATTGTGTTCAAACGATGAGCGATAATAAGCATGGTGCATGACTTGAATTCTTCTCTTATAGTTTTCTGGATAAGGGCATCAGTTCTGACATCAACAGCAGCAGTGGCTTCATCCAAAACAAGAATCTTTGATCGGCGAAGCAATGCTCGAGCAAGACTTAATAGTTGCCTCTGTCCTACACTAAAATTTTCCCCAGCCTCTGATACCTTTATTCATAATTATAGGTCAATACATTATCAGTAAAATGACTGAAAACTGAAAATTCATTGAACATCCATCCAGATGACCAAAACGAATCTGGAGTACTTAGAAATAGAGAGCACACTATATATCAGCCTGCAAATTTTATAGTCATTGTATAACAACAATGACAGCAAACCCAGTATAATCCCAACTCCATTGGAGTCTGGGGTGACCGAGTCAGGATGTACACAACCTTACCCTTATAAAAACAAAGAGGCAAACTGTTTATGTTCGTTTAATTTATCATTGTATGAATAAAAGGAATTTAGGGTTTTTTCATATATATATATATATATATATATATATATATATATATATATATATATACCTCAGTGTCTAGACCTAAAGAACTCCTTCTGATGACTTCTTTAAGATGTGCCCTTTCTAAAGCTTCCCATAGATCAGCATCATTGTGTTCATTGAATGGATCAAGATTGAATCTCACAGTTCCTGGAAAAATAATAATAAGCGAAAGAACTACATATATTAGCAGTCCTCTAAATGAACTTAGCTAAATGCACATTCAGATCCATCAAAATTTTGGAAGATAATCAAGAACGCGTTCAAAAGATTGGACCTTTTGAAATATTGATAGATATGCAATCATCAGTGTCAAGAAAATGAACTATTTAGGCATTTTAGGCGGTGGAAAAGTGGCGTCTAGGTGTGAAGTCAGATGGGGATTTTAGAAGAGTATGAAACAATCATTTAGCTCCATTAACTTCTTCCTCTTAAGATTTAGTCTGGATTTCACAAGATCATTGCAATGCAACTATCTGATTGTGTGTACCTGAGAAAAGAACAGGTGATTGAGGTATGATTCCGAGAACTTTCCGGAGGTCTGTTAATCCAAACTTTGAAACATCATAATCATCTATCATAATCTTTCCACTTTCCAGTTCCACGAGTCGGAATAAAGCATTAAACATGCTAGATTTTCCAGCTCCTGTTCTCCCAACCACTCCAACCTTGTCACTGGGACGGATCTTAAATGATATACCATGCAAAACAGGAGGTAGCTCTGCCCTGTAACGTAACACAACACTTTCGAAATTAACAGATCCTGCTGAAGGCCATGCAGGAGGAGGACGATTATTTTCAATAACGGTGGGGCCTTCAGAAGGCAAATCAATGTATGTCCCAACTCGCTCCACAGCATTCAAACTATTTTCGGCCAGACTTGCCAGTCTCAGTACAGCTGTTAATAAGGATGTGATATTTAAGGCATAACTTAGAAGTAAACCCATAGTAGAGGCAAAAGCCTCCTGGTTTTCTGCCCTTCCATTCTGCATCACAGCAAATGTTGCAGTGAGCCAAATCATAATGCCTCCTAGAGTTTCAAGACGGATAGCAAGCCAACGGTTTCCACCCATATTCACAAGAGTGTATCTAACGTTATTGTCCATAGCGTTTCCGTTAATGGTGGCCATCCGGTCGTAAGCTTTATATGCACGAATCGTTGGGAGACCATTGAGAGCTTCACCAAATTGTGCATACACAGGAGATCTGGAGATTGAATCCAGACGCTTCACTTCACGCGCAGTGCTCTGTTATAAACAGGATAGTTTTCCATGACACCAATTAGTGATTTTCTCATTTCACTACAGTCTAGAGCAGATGATGTCTAGCTTTCAAATATAAAATATGTGAATAGCAAAGTTAAAGAGTAGCGCACCTGATAATACAAGTAGGCGTCATAAAACATAATCAGAAGTGGCAGTATGACCCATAAAGACATTGTGCTAACCAACCCAATCAGCACAAATGTTGAAATGAGTTGAGAAATTTGGCCCATAAACATATTGGCAAATGGTGCAACATTGCGGTCTATGTCACCAAGGTCCTTAGCAAACCTATTGATAATCCTTCCAAGTGGGTTTGTATGAAAGAAGACCATTGGAGATCTCAAAATGGACTTCAACATAGCGTCATGTAACCTTTTGGCAGCAGAAAGGCTTGTTGTGATCAACCAAAAGGAATTGATGAGCGTTGCCAAAACCTGAAATGAAATCATTTTAGTGAGACATTTCATTTCTTTTTACTCTTTAAAATTTGCAGTGTTTTTTTCCCCTAAAATATATAAGCATAACAAACTTAGTATCTTAAAAAGATATAGGGAACCCTACAAGAACATGCTGGATTAAAATGTATTGATTATTTAAACTTCAACATAAAAAATCCAGATGACATACTTGAGCAAATGACAGAAGTGAATATATCAGGTTGTAGAATCCAGAACTGTATTTGGTTGAATTGCTTTCATCTGTCCAAAAACTTAACCACAAACTGCTTGCAATCCTAAAAACTTCTGTTAACACATAGCACACTAATAATAAAATTACTGCCCAGGCACCTCCCAAAGCATTCTTGTACCTGCACAAATGTATCAAATAAGTCAAGCAAGACAAATGAAACCAGCACTGCTTTCATTTAAATCCGCTTCATATCTAAGTGTGAGATGCAAAATTCATTTGAATTGGTCCAATGCTTATGCACTTAAGATGGAGGTAAGCCATGCTTTTCAGAATATGTGAAATCATTAACACAATTAAATCTATGTTCAGATATCATAAAACAAATTGAAATATATAAAATATAAGTTAATGTTACTATGTAGAATTAAAAATTGGAGTGTGGGCTGAATAAGCACATGATAAGCATACTACCTTTATGGTCTTACCCAAAACCGGAACAAGGTAAATAAGGAAAAGTAAAAAATATATATATATTGTAACTTTCATGTTTTTAAATATTAAGCCTACAAATGAATAAAATGGAAGAATCATTTTATTTTTCCCTTGCAAGGCAAATCATGAGATTAGAAACCTAATAAGCCCAATAACAATGCCACAAATCAAGTTCTCTTTTGTCATAAAAAACCAAATTTTCAAGCACAAAAAATAGGTCTACATGTATTATTATCTCACATATCCAAACACTTCTAAGCTTCTCTTGTCATGTGGAACTCATAGTAGAGAGGTTAAACTTTAACCTCAGAAGTCATCATGGTTATGCCATGGGCCCTAACCCAGAACCAGTCTGTAATAGGTTCATGAACTTATTTCACTTCAACATGCAGAAGAAAGGCTGGAAATACTTTAAGAGAACAAGGATATCATCTTTACCTTGTCAGAACATTCCAGCTCACGACACCTGTTTCACGCTCTTCCTGTTTAATAAGAACAGATTTCCCTTCCTTCTTTTTATCTGTTTCACCAGCATTTTCAGATGACCCAAACGCCTCACAATTGACAGCAGGCTTAGAGATTTTGTCATCAACCTTTTCAACATTTTCCTTTTCTTCTTCATATTCCTCCATTTTCCCCGCATTTTCCATCAGTTTCTGAAATATTTTTCCGTTGTTTGACAGATATTCAAAGGTACCTTGCTCTTCAACTGTACCATTGTGCACCACTAAAATGCTGTCTACTTGTGAAAGAAAGTGCAGCTGGTTTGTAACTAGAACTCTGGTCCTGCCTCTTAATTCTCCCCTGATGCATTTCTCAAAAACCTGGTGAAGAAAGTGCACTAACATCATTTATCTATTATGTACCATAACGCTTGTATTTAAGGTGACAGGTCTTTACCTTTCTGAAAAGAATAATCGTTGAGTAGTTTAGATAAGTATTAGTGATTCCTAGAAGTATGATATTATCCTTATGATTTCTCATTAGATTGATTCAAGAATAGTCTCGGTCATAAAAAAACCTTGTATACATTCTTAATCATCATCCTGAAAAGAATAATTAGAAATAGCAAAAACCATACTCCCTTCACTCCAGAATAGGTTCACAGACGACTTCATTGAATTAAGAAAATTGTTGAAAACGAGAAGGCAAAATGTACTAAGGGAAAACCAAATTCCTCCCTTTCTGGTGAGAAACAACAACAACCCACTTGAATCCCACGAGAGTAGGGTGTGTACGCAGACCTGTTAGATATCCGGGAGCATCAACGGAGACTTTCCTTAGCCCACAAAAGGAAAGACGGATCAGGGGAATAAATCCAAAGTGTGGTGACGTTATTAGGGTTGAATCCACTCCTTCGCCCTTCCCTAAAGCCCAAACCAACACCAGGGCTGTCCTACACCCCACCTAGGCCGAACCAACACCCCCCATTCCTTCCCTAAACATCCAAAGTTCCTTGTCATTTAATTCCTTTCAAAATAATGTTTTCCTACACTTATTTTTAGCCTATGGCAGAAAATAAGAGTGTGTAAACCAAAACCTTTTGTTTGTTGTTATTTCCCTTTTTCCTTTTTTTTTCTTTTTTGGCCAAACTTAGGGCATCCCATGAACCCCATATCACCCCTAATACACCCCTGGCAGAATAAACCCACCATTACCAGCCAAAACCACTCCTTTATTTCACACAATAAACCCACCATTNTATATAATTCGGCCTTAGGGCCATGTGTAAGGCAGCTTTTTTTTGATGAATTAAAACATTACTCTTTGAGTATATTTTTAAATAGTGTGATGCTATTTAAGCCAAATTCCTAATTCTATATCTTAAGAGTGGTTATCTTAAGTGTGAGTTTTAGGTTCTAGATATTTAAATAAGTGTGTAATATCTTATTTGAATTCTAGATTCAAACCCCAAGTTAAGATAAGAGTGTGTCATATCTCTTAACACCAACTTGGTTTATCCCCTCCTATTTTATTCCCCCATTTCGTGCCTCCCCATATTCTCTTCCTAAACCTCTTCTTTTTCTTCATAAAAAAAACACCAAAAGAACTCCCCTTTTGCCCCATAATATTTCGGCCACCCCATTTTTCCCTCACCTCCTCATAATTCCTTCTCTAAAATAGCAACGTGATAAGACCCCGGGTCTCGGGTATAACAAGACCTTACCCCTACTCGAAAGTAGAAAGACTGTTTCCAAAGAGACCCCTAGCTCAACGTCGAAAGTTGCATTGATTGGCTAACTGCTACTTCATTAACTAAAGAAGCACATAAGCGCAAACACTTTAGAGATCCATTGCTTTATTCCATCACACCCAAAGCCAAAAAATAGTGAATTTTTGGCTCCATTTCTTTTGCTTCCAAATTCCTTGAACCAAAGTGTTTTTTTGGAATGACTCACTTCAAGATCAACGCAATACTAAACTAAAAAGCAAGCAATAGTGGTGACACTAGTCTTTTAGAAAGTGAGCTTGTTAATATTAGATTGGAAGTGAATAAGTGAATTACTTGAAACATTACTTGGACTAGACCATCAAAATGAAGTAATTAAATTCATTACAACATGTTACCTGACGACCCACATCAGCATCGAGTGCACTTAAAGGATCATCAAATATGTAAACATCAGAATTAGAATAAACTGCTCTAGCCATGGATACTCTTTGCTTCTGCCCTCCACTGATGTTGACTCCCCTTTCACCGATTTCAGTAAGATCACCGCCCTAGAACAAGTGTTGGTATGGTTGAAAGAATACTCCAATCAAGCTATAACATGCGCTAAAAATTTGAACAAAGAAGTCAAACCCGAGCATTGCAAAAATTATGTGTAGAAGTACTTACAGAAAGCAATTCAAGGTCATGTTGTAATGCAGTCACATTGATTGCCCTTCCATATCTTGAAGGTTCAAATCGGGAGCCAAAAAGTATGTTTTCACGCACCTGTAAACCATACTAATCATCTCATTGGGCTAAATAAATTGATGATGTCTATTATCAAGTTATCAACATTGCTCTATATCTTTATACTCCGTATATAATAAACAGCACTCATTTATAACTATCACAATTATCAATGCATCATGTTATTGAAATGCATTAACACAAATCAGTGTCGTTTGGGACAAGAGATGAAGCTAGGAAACAATAAACATAATGACGTACTGTTGCGTTAAAAATCCAAGACATTTGTGGTACGTAAGCAACTGTTCCTCTAATGAGGACACTTGCATCTGAAACCGCAGGAAGCTCCCCAAGCATTGCTGAGATGAGGGACGTCTTTCCCTCTCCAGTGCCCCCAACAACTGCCACTAAGCTACCAATTGGAATGTCCAAATTTATATTGGATAACGTTGGTTTCTCCGCCTGGAATTTGAATGCAAATAAGATATTTAAAAAAAATCCCTCATCATTAACTCACCATCAAATTGACAACATTTAAGAGTTCATCAAAATGTAGAACCTTAACACTTTATAATATAAATGAACCACCAAATGCCCATATTTTTTTCCTAGAAATGAAAGTATGCAGAAACAATGCATAGAGCTACACTATGATATTATTGTAAGGCTACAATATAATACCACTAATAAAATATGCACTTTGGTAAAATTAAGAACATTTTTGCTCTACAATCTCACAAAGCATAATTAGCCTACATTTGATGCTCTACACAATGTGTGGCCATCTAAAAACAAAATTGTGTTTCATGAGGTTACATATATCTGCCAACATTAACTGATAAAATAGATGGGAGCGTCTAAAATGACACCAGTTACTTATACACCAGTTGCTTACACCAGTTCGTTTGGTGTACCTACGGTGCTCCGTTTGTAAAAACGACGGTTCCTACCCCCCCCCCTA